AGAGATGTCTTCTATTTTTACTCCATAAAATGGCTTACGCATGTAATCCGCGCGACCACTAACGTAATATTTTAGAGCGCGACCACCGTAGGGTTAAGTGCTTTATTTAAAAAACTCATTTTATTTTAGCAAGTAGGCACTTTGACACGTCCCAATACCACTGCTTCGGGACAATAAAGCCATGTATTCATTAGGCAACATTTGTTGATAAACTGTTTAGGTACTTATGACTAGTGTGAAACAAGTTTACCATAAACACAGGTTTCTGAAACTTGGCCGTCCACACTTGCTCTCGTATCACATAGCGGGGAGCACGGCAACATGTATCATGAACAATGTTTCATCACCTATGTTTATAAACTGTTTCAGAGATGATGAAACATTATGAAACATTGTTTATGACGATTAACAGTGTTTATCAACAAATGTTGCCTAATTAATAGGTACATGGCTTAAATGGGACAGTGCTGAGAAGAAGCAGCACAAGAAACAAAGTCATTATTGTTTATTTGTATTGAATAGGCTCCGAAACTATTGGAACGATTTGAGAAATATTTCCCCATTATAAATCTAAATCATCCCAGATAAACATAGGCTATTCAATTTGGGTTACCTACGCCATATCGAATGACNTTTTTTTTTAAAGTTATTGCTTGTTTGTATGGAGTTTTGATGGATTCGATTTTCGATTCGATCAAAAAGTGCATTTTGTCTAGGGGGGCTGATTTGTATACTCTGTCACGTCATAAATAAGTCAATGTCACCCCTCCCGTGCCTCTTCCATACCTCAGGCACTGACTGCGTTAAGTGCTAGACATATTATAGCGTTACCACAATGGCGGCTTAGTTCCTTAAAATTCGCTTTACCCGCTGCCGCCTACAATTAAAATGGACTCTGGAATACGTAAACGCTAATGACTGTGATTAAAAACGATTTTATTAACAAAAAGATGTTAGAACAAAGCACGCGCCGCAGCGCCTCCGGCGGGGGTTTCGGGTACTAACTACGGCAGGCGCCACTTCTTGAAACTTAACAGATGTTTTTTGTTTGTAGGTAGAGGTCAGTTAGAGCGGTTTTGGACTAAGTTCTAATCGAATTCGACCCAAATTCGTTAAAATATGGATCGAGAATACTAAGTAACTAGAAATCGAATGACGCTAGATCGAATCTGATTAACCCTACAGTGGTCGCGCGGATTACACCCGTAATCCACTCGTGCAAATTCTCGAATATTTTGAAATCGATCAACGCGATCGTTTTGATACTTCGTGTACTTTAAGTTGCATAGTCGAAGATCACACTTAATGACATGTGAGCGCTAGGTCTCTTGTGTATGTGTCGCAGGAGCCCCGTAAAGGCCGATGGCCTACCCGTGTAATCCGCGCGACCAATTACGTAAGTATTTTTTAGGTTACCTTTTTTACTTAATGTGTTTGTTTTTGCATTTTTCGTGTAAATTAATGCTTTAGAATAAATAATTACGGCATAGGTATGTATTTACATTTGTGTTTTCAATAAAATCATGAACAATAGACAAAAAGCACAAATTGCAGAATGGCTAGAAGTAATTGACAATGAAAGTGTATCTTCTGGCGACTCTTCGGTTTCTGATGAAGAAGGGCACATTCTTCCACAAGAGAACAAGTTTCTCAGACCAGTGATAAGCCATCTAACTCAGAAACATCACAGCGGAGATTTTTAGGTCGCTACTTTGACTGCGGAAGAAAGCGAAATCAAAGTACTGGAAATACTTGTAATTCGTGCAACAAATTTATTTGTCCTTATCATTCCATTATGGCCTGTATCTCCTGTTCAAAATATAATTAATAAATAAGTGCAATTAGTACTGAATAATTTTGGGTTACCTACGCCATATCGAATGACAAATGATCGAAAATCAAAATATCGAATACGTTTCATCGAACGATCAAAATATCGAACGATCAAAATATCGAATGCTCAAAATATCGAACGTTCAGAATATCGAACCATCAAAATATCGAACGATCAAAATATCGAACGATCAAAATATCGAAAGTCGATATAGACGTTTTTATTAAATTTCATCATGCATCATTTCTTCAAGAAAATAATGTCCGTGGGGACCTATTATAAGCCTAGCCTGTCCCAAAAAGGAAAGTTCAGAAATGATGCGTGATGAAATTTAATAAAAACGTCTATATCAACTTTCGATATTTTGAACGTTCGATATTTTGATGGTTCGATATTCTGAACGTTCGATATTTTGAGCATTCGATATTTTGATCGTTCGATATTTTGATCGTTCGATGAAACGTATTCGATATTTTGATTTTCGATCATTTGTCATTCGATATGGCGTAGGTAACCCATTCAATTTTTATTGACGGTACGAAATTCGCCGGGTCAGCTAATCTCTAATAGGTATTGCTATAGAGGCTGTAACTGAAGCACTGATGATTTTTCAGCCATCATCAGACAACGAGTTCGCTGTATATTGTAGGAAGGAGATTTTACGTTGTTATTGTTTTTTACTTTATTCACAAACAAGTGCCAAAGAACAAGCACCAAAAACACATTTTACAAGATTTGCACCAATTTCTCCCATAATAGCCTACTTTGTTTTAGACCGCGTCACAGGTAAAAGTATTTTTTTCCAAAGGCCTCGCTCTCCCGCCAAAGCACGCGAGCGCCATGTTTTTTCTTGTTTTTTTATCTGTGGTTGCGTTCGGGATAGAAGATTGCCCGCGGGCAACAGTCACTCAAAAGTCACGAGTCGGAAACAAGTAAAAAAAAATAGAAAAGGAACACAGCTCGTGAATGATATAGTTTTTTCCACAAAATTAGAGATTCGGCGTTTTTTAAGAAATTGCGTGTTCACGTAATGATACGTCTGGGGCAAGCCTTTTCTGATTTTTTCAGAATTACGGTTCGGGCGCCCTTTTTTGGCCTAGTCTTTTTGGATTTGCCAAATGTGTATGCAATAATATTCGTGTTAAAAGGTGTTTAGTACCTACCCAACATAGGGCTACTTAACATAATACTTAGGCATAGGTAAGCATCTCAGGGACAAAAATTCCTTTGCTAAAAAGCTTGGCTAAGGCTTTTAACAAATAATATTAACTGGAAGAGAATACCATACGGAATTAAGCTTGCTTTTTGAATGGCTATGTTATTATGTGCAGTAAAATCTATATATATAAAAATGAAACCCGTTTCGCGTTGTCACGGCATCACGTGTGAACGGCTGAACCGATTTCGATAATTCTTTTTTTTAAATGTTTGTGGAAGTCCAAGGATGGTTCTTACGGAAAAAAATATTAAGAAAATCTCTACGCTAAGGCGGTACGAAGTTCGCCGGGTCAGCTAGTTTTAAATAAATGACAACGCCAACTCAGAATTTAAGAGATCACTTGATTAGAGTTAATTCAATCTACTTAGATCCGTATTACAAAACTCAATCCCATCAAAAATAATATTTTCATATTTAATGTTGTTAAGACTACTTAATAGACTCAACACTCGCACTGTCAGAAAGTTATTAGATCTCATAATATAGAACCATGCAGCTTAAGCTAGCTCTACACGCCCAACTCTATAAATACACTCACAAACTACCTACTTAGCAGCTTAGCTTGGTTGCGACTTGCGAAACCACTTGCTGGCAACGGAAGATAGTCCGGAAGACGTAGAGTGGACAGGCCTCCTACTAGATGGACCGACGATCTGGTGAAGGTCGCGGGAAGCACCTGGATGAAGGCAGGGCAGGACTGGTCGTCCTGGAAATCTTTGGGCACCTAAGGCCTTTGTCCAGCAGTGGACGTCATTTTGGCTGCTGAAACGAACAAATAAAGGTAAGATTAAAAAAAAAAACAAAAAAATATTAATTTGGTAGCTCAAAACACAAGGAGAAAGGGTCATAAAGGTTTACGTTACATAAAATAATATGGATTTGGATCTAACTTGGATAAATTTTAATACGTTCGTAACGTTTTTACGGCGAGAAAAATTTGATTTCCAGGAAAACTCTAAAAACAGCACTTTTATCACGCGGGCGAAGTCGAGGGCGCAAAGCTAGTAAATCTATAGGTACTAATATTATTATAAATGCGAAAGTAACTCTGTCTGTCGGTCTCTCTTTCACGCCAAAACCACTGAACCGATTTTGATGAAATTTGGCATAGAGATAGTTTGAGTCCCGGGAAAGGACATAGGATCTATCCCGGTTTTTGAAACAGGAACGCGCGTGATAAAGTTTTTCTGTGAAAGACAAAATTCCACGCGGGCGAAGCCGCGGGCGGAAAGCTAGTACAATGAAACAAAATAAACCAACCGCTTTTGTGTTCTAGTGGTAATAAAGACCACCACTGATTCAGACGCAGAGGCCCCGGGTTCGATTTCCATTGGGGGAAGATTTTTCTGTTCGGTTTGGTTGGTGGTAGGGCTTGTTCTAAGTCCGCCTGACTAGCAACCACCATCTTACCTAAGTCTGTCGCCTTAACAACAATGTTAACAGCATTGTTGTGTTCCGGCAGTTAGAGGTAAGATAGCCAGTTCCTCCGTGGTTGAGGATTCCGGGTGAAGCTCGCTTCCACCTTCGGCCTGATCATAACTTACCATCAGGTGAGATACAGGTCAAGAGCTTCCTCGGTGTGGATAAAAAAATGTAGAGCGCATAGCACCTACTGAAATAACATAGCAAAAACATACCAGAGCAAGTAAACTTGAATAAGAATACAAAAGGCGTTTCGAGATACTAATAGCAAAAGTGGCAGCAAAACAAATAATAGAGGGCCAATAAATGGAAAACTTGCAAAAAAAATATTAAAAAAAAACTACCTTTATAATTTTTTATGAAAACTTTAATGTGTTTTCTCTAAATCAATCGGTAAATGCGTGAATTGGAATGTTTATAATTCTGACAAATTCGAGAGGTAAGCCTTTTTTAGGTTCTTCTACTAATAAGTAGCCATTACAAATTAGCCGGATTGTAACATGTTTACTTCACAACTGTCAAATTGATAAGCTTGTCAAAAAACGTCATTACGACGAGTCGCCGAATTCCGATCAACGTTATTTTGCAACAACTTTTACCGGCGATAAACTTATTTTATAACGATGGCTGCCCGTAATATTATTAAACTTGGTGCGTTAGAAGCTCCCAGGACCGCGTTCCTTCTGTGCGACATACAGGAAACTTTTAGGCCTCATGTGAAACATTTCGGCGAAGTTGTGAAAGTCGCTAATAAAATGGTTTGTACTCTTTATAATCGTTACGTAATCGTTTATCACGATCATTCTAGTGTTGTTATTTGAGATAAACGCCGGCTTAATCTTTTGGATGGGTTTAGGATGATAACTTTTGTTATTAACCTATTTTATTTTTAGGTTTTGAAACTAATATAGAATCCTAAACTATGTTTTTACCACTGTGGTTTGAACCCCATACAACAATTAATTTTAAAATGCATTCTACATGAAATTCACCAATAATTATGTACTTCGGTTTAGTGTAAACATTTAGTAAGCAGTCTTTTTAGTTTAAGACCAACTCATATTGCTCCTCTTTATTTTCTTCATAACACTCTCCAAAAATCATGACCAATAATAACGTAACTTACATTGTAATCTTATAGAAAGAAAGAAAGAAATTAATTTAAGTTTAGAAAAAATAAATAAATTAAAAAGTCAAAAGCTAATTTCAAAACTTTAAGACCACGATTTTCTATCATTAGCTTGAAAACAATCTTAAAAATTTCCAGATGGAAGCATGTGCATGTGGATTGAGTGATCCTTGCTTCAATCTTAACAAAAATCGAGGAAGTTTTACTTAAAATATGTTAAAACATTGCGATGAAGTTTAAAAATTTGTTAAACCTAAAATAAAAATGTTATGGCCAATAAATAGGAGCACTCATACCGCACGCTTTGAGAAAACGTCAACATGTTTATTTCAGAAAATAAAGCCTTTCCACTTCTTTTTATAGTATAGAAAAATTGTTAAGAATATGTTAAAACTATTAACAAATTCAGAAATTCCTTGCACGTCCCGTTCCAAAGTTATGACGATTATTTAGGATCACTCACACCGCACACGGGCCGTACGAGTGCTCTTCAAAATAATGACTTTTTATTAATAAATACGTTTTATTTCTGTTGGGAAATGTGTGCAAACTGACGAGCGAATTTGTTAAAGAATAAGTGTGACAAAACTTAAGAGCTGAAGGAAGAAATTAACCTTTATTCTTTCCTCCAATATGCCGTGTGAGTGATCCTTACTTTTACCTCTATCTGCTCATATGTAGTTCGTAGGCAGACTGAGATAGTATCTAAAATTGTTAATTGTTTTTAACAATTATTTGGCATATATTTTGCTTTTATTAAGGTCATAATTTAAGAAATATCAGGCTTAGATGATTCCTAAAGGAAAATGGTGATTAGGGTACGTATGATTTTTTATTTTGAGAGACTGTTTCGATTCATCAGAAGTTTACATGTGAGATTTAATAATATTATTTTATCGTATTTTATAGTCCAACCAAAAAAAAACAGTTTTGTTGAGAAATTTGTAATTTATTTAAATAAAACCGTGAGTATCTTTCTCAATTCATATTACAAGTCAAATTTGAATTCAATCCTATAAACAATTGTAATGTTTCTTTATTTCTATCATTCAAGATGTAGGGGTAAACCACTAAAACTCGCGCTACTGCCGACCGCGGCGACGGACGCCCCCCGCGAGTTTTAGCGGAGGCCCCTAAACCTACTACATATTAGATTGCATTGGTTTTGCATTGTCACGTCTGACGAATCGGAACAGTCTCACAAAATAAAAAATCATATGTACCCTAATCAACATTTTCCTTTAGGAATCATCTAAGCCTGATATTTCTTAAATTATGACCTTAATAAAAGCAAAATATATGCCAAATAATTGTTAAAAACAATTAACAATTTTAGATACTATCTCAGTCTGCCTACGAACTACATATGAGCAGATAGAGGTAAAAGTAAGGATCACTCACACGGCATATTGGAGGAAAGAATAAAGGTTAATTTCTTCCTTCAGCTCTTAAGTTTTGTCACACTTATTCTTTAACAAATTCGCTCGTCAGTTTGCACACATTTCCCAACAGAAATAAAACGTATTTATTAATAAAAAGTCATTATTTTGAAGAGCACTCGTACGGCCCGTGTGCGGTGTGAGTGATCCTAAATAATCGTCATAACTTTGGAACGGGACGTGCAAGGAATTTCTGAATTTGTTAATAGTTTTAACATATTCTTAACAATTTTTCTATACTATAAAAAGAAGTGGAAAGGCTTTATTTTCTGAAATAAACATGTTGACGTTTTCTTAAAGCGTGCGGTATGAGTGCTCCTATTTATTGGCCATAACATTTTTATCTTAGGTTTAACAAATTTTTAAACTTCATCGCAATGTTTTAACATATTTTAAGTAAAACTTCCTCGATTTTTGTTAAGATTGAAGCAAGGATCACTCAATCCACATGCACATATGGAAGCAGCGAAGCACTTCAAAATACCTGTATACATCTCCGAACAGTACCCCAAAGGTCTCGGTCACACGACAAAAGACATTAAAGTGGACGATGCAGCGTTAGTATACGAGAAGACTAAGTTCTCTATGTACACACCGGAACTGCAGGAACGGCTGAAGAAGGACATACCTAACCTGGCCTCGGTGGTGCTTTTTGGTATTGAGGTAATTTTTTTTATTTAGCTGCCATATCTATAAAAGTGAAAGGTCACTGACTGACTCACTCACTCATCACGAAATCTCAAAAACTACAAGTCCTAGGAGTCTCAAATTTTGCATCGGGGTTCTTTTTAGAATGTAGGTGCTCACTAAGACAGGATTTTGCAAAATTCAACGCGTTCGAAGTCACAGGCGGCCACTAGAAAGTTTATAAAGTTCTTTTACTTCCCAAATTATTGCCCAATAAAAAAATTACTTCTGTCATATTACTTGTAGTTAACTATCTAACTTTATATTCCACTATTGGCATCTAATACAGCTTCATCATCATCATTCCAGTCACAGGACGTCCACTGCTGAACATAGGCCTCCCCCAATGACCTCCACATCGCACGGTTGGTAGCGGAATGCATCCAGCGCCTTCCTGCTTCCTTTATCAGGTTGTCGGTCCACCTTGTGGGTGGACGTCCCATGCTGCGTTTTCCGGTACATGGCCTCTACTCCAGTACCTTGCTGCCCCATCGGCCGTCAGTCTGTCGTCAGGCTATGTCAGCGATTTTAGTTCGTTTACGAATCTCCTCATTTCTGATTCGATCTCGTAAGAAACACTACAGCTTACCAGACCATTAACAAGGCCTGCAAAGCCCAGAATCATTTACCTTTTCAGAAACACAACTTATACTGCAAACTAAGATTTTTAAACTTCTACCTTAACCCTTAAATGCATGATTTTTTATTTAGTTATGAAAAAAATATTTCAATTAGATTTTTAGTCACAGATAAGGGGAAAAATAATAAAAAAAATCTTAGTACGAAAAAAAAGTATATTTTTGAAAATTAACAGTATGTAGCCAAATGTCTACACCATGCGTTTGTATGCCGTAAAATTGTTCTATGGTTTGTTTATTTGGCTTTTCTTTTCAGCATGTTTGGCTCGCTATCTGAAAAGGAAATTGAGGCAGCTCTTGCTGCTTTAAATGATGGTGCAGTCTCAGAAGATGATGACAATTTATATGATGATAACATCGATTATTACCCAAACGTACGGGATTTGTTGCATGATCGGGATGAGGAGTCCATAGATCATAATCTACCCTTGGAACATAACGAAGACCCTGGAACATAACCCTCCCATAGTCTATGAAGAGGAGCATATATTAGATCAGATCTTCGTTATGTTCCAAGGGTAGATTATGATCTATGGACTCCTCATCCAGATCATGCAATAAATCCCGTACGTTTGAGTAAAAATCGATATTATCATCATCTAAATTTTCATCATCTTCTGAGACTGCACCATCATTTAAAGCAGCAAGAGCTGCCTCAATTTCCTTTTCAGATAGCGAGCCAAACATGCTGAAAAGAAAAGCCAAATAAGCAAACCATAGAACAATTTTACGGCATACAAACGCATGGTGTAGACATTTGGCTACATACTGTTAATTTTCAAAAATATACTTTTTTTTCGTACTAAGATTTTTTTTATTATTTTTCCCCCTATCTGTGACTAAAAATCTAATTGAAATATTTTTTTCATAACTAAATAAAAAATCATGCATTTAAGGGTTAAGGTANGGCACATTCGGGATAGATTACCAAAAAAATAAGTTATAATAATGAATTCTTACATTATTTCTAACACGTATGTATTTTTTTCCAATCGTTTTAGCAATTAATTCTCACTGAATCCGAAATTGAAATACCACAAATTTTAACACTACCAATTTTTTCTCTTTCGCAATCGCTACGTCAAATATCGGTTAATTTTTTTTCAAATCTACCTTCATTTGCGTTTTTTTTATTTTTATTATGATGTTTTCTATGATATTAGCATATGTTCAGAAACGCTTATAAAATGTGTTACTTTTTATAATTAAAAAAGTAGTTCGTAGACATATGGCAACACTATGCATTTAAGGGTTAATGATTACAGGCACACGTTTGCATCGAGCAAACCGTCATAGACTTGCTGAATGAGGACCTGACAGTCCACGTGTTGGCCGACGGAGTGTCCTCACGATCCCTGATGGACAGAGGATTGGCGCTGCAGGTTGGTATTGTAAATAATTTAAATCACATAAACAAAATTCGCACATTCCCCTAATAAAGGAATCTGACGCAGAATGAGCACTTTAAAAATTCGCACGTTATTATTTAAAGCAGACTACTTTGTATAGTATAAAAAAGTGCACATTCTCTGTCAAACCCCCCTTAAGTAGGTACCTCCATGGTTTACTGGTAGAGAATGCTTATGTACAAATGGCGGATTTAAGTTAATGGACTAACACTGATGATTACTATTATGATTGTCGTGGTTTAAAAAATCTTCAATTCAACTATGTAAGAAATTAGTGTGTGGTTTTAGTAAACAACTAACTTCCAGAGAACTAGTGCTTATTCTGTGCTTCAAGCTCTATACCATACTAACATTATCTGTCCTTCATACGTACATTCTGAGTAGGTACACTGTCCACACATTGTCACCTTAACTACTTACTAACTATACCACTGAGTTGTTCACAATTTCTTGGTACGCCTATTCATTAATTTAAAATTGCGCCATTTTTCAACGAAATGTAACTGTTTACTTTTAACTATACTCCATCCTCACTTCTCCCTTTTCTATCCCTTCCAGCGCTTGCAATCCCTAGGCTGCTTCGTCACAACCTCAGAGAATGTGCTATTCAAGTTGCTGAGCGACAAGCAGCACCCTGCTTTCAAGTATATCTCGAAACTTAACAAGGAACCCACTGTGGACACTCTTGGATTCGATGTTGTTTCTAAACTGTGATATTATTATAATCAGAAATACTAATATTTGTGGTTTTACTATTCCTTGTCTTGTTTTTTACTTTACTATCTTTTAAAATATTTTTCTTTAAGTCATAAATCATCATTTTTTAACAATGTTAGTTTGTATCAAGGTGAATAAAATATAACTGTGGATAAATAAGTTTCACCTCTTGCGGATAAAGTCCCTGCCAGGCAGGTTTCACAAGTTCTTGATAAAGTTACAGATAGTTGCTGACATTATATTATGTCACTATCTAAATAGTTTCTGATTACTGGTGTGTAGGTATATTTTATTATTTCTCCGATAATTTGCTAAGACATGTGAAACAAAGTTTTTCAGTTTGTAAAATAAAATTAGAAGTTCATAATTGGCTTTCAAGAACTTATCAGCAAGAGTTAAAACAGAGCCCAATCCCCGTTTTCACCATCAATCCCTAATTTTTAAGTGACCCCTATCTTGGTAACATTCATATGGGTCACTTAAATATTAGGGATTGATGGTGAAAACGAGCATAAGACTATTCTCATGTGTTGGGGTGATAAATTCACGTACCTATTACAGAACAAAACTCAAAGCTCGATTCAATTCTAAGCATAAATAGAGTTTTTTTGGTTGAATTTTAATTTCTAAACCAATAATCATCAATGTTGAGCATTGCTTTGTAATACTGACCCTTAAAATCATAATTTTAAAGTTTTAAATGTAATATTTCGTTACCATATTTTATTTCCAGCGCTTCCAATCCATCGGTTGCTTCGTAGGGACTTCAGAGAACGTTCTGTTCAAGCTGCTTCGAGACAAATCGCACCCGGTCTTCAAGCACATCTCCAAACTCAATATGAACCCTACTGCTGACGAGTTTGGGAAAACCTCATAGGAAGTATAAATTAAAAGGATCAAAACTAGTTTAAGGCCTCAGCCTCGAACTTAGCGGGCAGCGGGGCGGCGGCGGCGGCGGCGCGGGAGCGGCAGGATCTTATGCGTAAAATCAAATAGACCGGTTCTCGAAAACAGCGGCGCGGCAGCGGCGACGGAGCGGGCATCGAGCGGGCAGCGGCGAGGGAGCGGGCAACGAGCGGGGAGCGCACTCCTTCTTTTGCCCACAATAAATCGAGCGTAAGGAATAAAGGACAATGTTCGTTCTCCATACATTGTTCGCCTAAGAACCAACAATTTTGACATATTACTACCCGAAAGCGAAATAATACGATTCTGTGTGTAAGAACAATGATTCCTGATGGACACTTGCCATAAAATTAATGATTAAGAATATTAAATTACAGCGATTTTATAATATGTCGTTTATGACAACATGGCGTCTAATGTATTGTGTGAATGTATGAACACCGATTCGCGAAAAATGTTTTGTATTGTCGTCACGCCGAGTCGCAGCCAAATAGTATAAAATAATAGAACAAGTTTTAGAAATACAACTCGNATTCAACATCGGATTCTGACACTTTTACAGTTATGATACCATGAATATCAGTTTATGGTCCTAATTATTTTTATTTTATTTACGACCTTCGACCAGTTGGACACTTTAGATAACTTCTTGTAATAGTGTCAATATCTTTTTAGCTTTTAACGCAAATCTAGTCTTCAAAGCAATTTAATCGATTTTTTTTTTCAAAATCGATATTTTATTGTCTATGATGGCCGCAGGAACATCACTATACATGGACTCCCAGCAATAAAGTACGGTAATTCCTCGTACAGATTTTATCGGCAAAAATTATGGAACTTGATAGGTTTTAGACCATGCCAAGCACCAAAACGTCCGGAAGTTGTAATAGTATTATAGAATAAACGTTAAAAGACTTATTTATTTAATTTTTCAATGCTTAAGTGTCCATTAGAATGAAAGGGTGCTTAATGTATTAAAAAAAATAGAAAATAATTATGATGGGTTCATGTTTTTGGGCGGTTTTTTAGGCGATTTCTGACAATGTCCTTTGAATCGAAATAAAATTGTCGCCGTTGTTCAGACATTTCGTTTGCGAATAAAAACAAATATCTCGACAACACAACCCCGAACACAACACTTCGCCGCTAAAGCGCCGCGCGAGCTGCCCGCTTGTTTCGAGAACGGGTCTGCGTTGCCCGCCCCGCTCCAGCGCCGCCGCCGCTCCCGCCCCGCTGCCCGCTAAGTTCGAGGCTGAGGCCTTAGTGGGTATAGATCGTTTCATCCACGAAGACGCGCCCCCCCACCATTCCTTCGCTAATGTTTGAGTGTTATCGGTACACGCTAAATTATCCATGAGTGCACACGCACACTACAATAATGCCGCTCGGATTGCTCGGATCAAACTTCCCGCACCAATAAATTGGTGGGGCGCGTCTTCGTGGATGAAACGATCAAATTTTTAATAAGTAGTAATGTGGCATTTGAACTTCACTGTTTTTGGGATAACTTTTCATTTTATCACGGTGTAGGTAAGAACCTATATTGGCTGTTAACATTTTCATAAATTACAATCATTATTTATTGTAAATACTTTAAGTTCGAAAAATAAAAAATATCAATTATGTATGTACTTGTAATATTATGTAAATAATGTGTATCTTAAATATATGACATATTTTAATTAGAAAAATTATTACTTTTATTTCAACAGAGACCACTTTAGTTGTTCCTTAGCCGACTGAAGTACCTGAAAACAATGGAAAAATAATTTCTTATCTATTATTAACACACTGTAAGCAAGGAACACTTATATTAAAACAATAGGCTAGTTTCCTAAAAAAAATTTTTAGTCCGTCAATTTTGATATAAAAAATATTGGACACGTATATTTTAAATTGTCAATCAAACAAATAATTACAAAGTTATAGTGCGTTAAAGTTCCGCAAGCGTCACAAAGTGCTGCACTTTTACGCACTCACTGACGTCACGGGCCTTTTCTTTAGAACTTTGGCACGCTTTATCTCTTTACATATTCATAAGTTTTAAAAAGTGAAAAATAGGTGTCGAGTATTTTTTGATAAGCTAACTGACGGACTAATTAAAACTCTTGCCTTTTTTACCCAGGAAACATCCCTATTATAAGCCTAGCGCATCGAGTCAGGTATGGAAGGGTTAACGTAAATGATGACGGAGCATTACGAGTCTGAAGCATAAAGTTTCGCTGACGTTTGATGTCACAAAAACACCCTCACACCTCAGGCACGGACTTGGTTAACCGCTAGACTAATAGTTAAAATTTTGAAAGGCTCGATAAGGTGTTGCCAAAATTACAATTTTAATAATAATAAACAAAATTTTTTCTAAAGCCTGGTCCGTGAGCACGTAGAATTTTGTCCAATGACCCCAAGCTACCCATCCTTATCGCTCGCGCGTAATTATTTTGCTGTCGCGACTGTGCGACGGGCGCCCGCAGTGAGTGTGCTAGGTAGCTTGGGGTCATTGGACAAAATTCTACGTGCTCACGGACCAGGCTTTGGCAACGACAAAAGACAATGCCGGAAATTGGCGTCTTTTTTTTTTCGCACGGCCATCGACCAAACTTTGTTTTTTGATTACAAAATAGTGTAATAAACCAAACTTACTATGACATGTATACCTCTAAACTCAGTCTGAACTGAGTTACGAGCATTAGAAGTTTGATGATTTTCATACTAGATTTGCTTTTTGCGCGCAAAGTTTTGTAAGAAATTGCAACAAAATAGTGAGATTGTATGTGTAAACAAACAATACCATCCATTAAAGGCTCCAAACATCAGTATGGAGCAGAATCAGCGCAATAAAAAATAGCGCAATATTTTGTTGCAATTTCTTACAAAACTTGCGCACAAAAAGCAAATCTAGTATGAAAATCATCAAACTTCTAATGCTCGTAACTCAGTTCAGACTGAGTTTAGAGGTATACATGTCATAGTAAGTTTGGTTTATTACACTATTTTGTAATCAAAAAACAAAGTTTGGTCGATGGCCGTGCGAAAAAAAAAAGACGCCAATTTCCGGCATTGTCTTTTGTCGTTGCCAAAGCCTGGTCCGTGAGCACGTAGAATTTTGTCCAATGACCCCAAGCTACCTAGCACACTCACTGCGGGCGCCCGTCGCACAGTCGCGACAGCAAAATAATTACGCGCGAGCGATAAGGATGGGTAGCTTGGGGTCATTGGACAAAATTCTACGTGCTCACGGACCAGGCTTTAGAAAAAATTTTGTTTATTATTATTAAAATTGTAATTTTGGCAACACCTTATCGAGCCTTTCAAAATTTTAACTATTAGTCTAGCGGTTANATTTAGCATAGATGAAAATAATCATCATCAGGTCATTTAGTCTCCACTGCAGGTGCACGACCCTCTCTAATTTACCAGAGACAAAAGAAGAATTAATTGTAAAACCATTTGCACAATACCCGTGGATGTCGTAAGAGGCGACTAAGGGACAAATATGCGAACATCAGGCCTCCCCAACCCGTCTGGCCAGCGTGGGGAGTGTAGGACAAATCCTCCATTTGCCTCTGGTAGATTAGAGAGGGTCGTGGAACGAGCCTACTGATGAATGATCGTTATTATTCACATCTGGTACAAATATTGTTTTAGTACTTGTAGTACTGTTTAAAATAACGGTGTTTTTTTAATTAGGTGCAAAATTAAAAACTAGCTCGAAAAATATTAGTTTAAATAGGTACTTAACAAAAACAGAGACCTTCTTAAACCCAATTTTAACGAAGATCGTCACACACACGTAATGATGATTGTATGAAAATATATTAAAAATCATAAAATATTAAAGTAAAATAATTTTTAAACGAAAATGCTCTAAATATCCAAGAAAAATAACAAAAACGATCTACGTCAAATATTTTCTGCCACCCTATATTTCACGCTGTTGTTATATTTTTCAGCGTTGTATTATTTACAAAATAAATAAAACAATAACTTACTTTTTAACGCAGATATTCCGTTGGTTTTTATAAATTAAAAGATTTAAATGTAAATCATACTTATAGGTATGTACAATATAATTTTATGAACTTGAAACTTGATAAATAACTTCATACAAATGTATTTAAAGTGAATATTAAAAAGATAGCCAAATAATGAGAAATCGTGTTAATAAACAAGCAAGCAAAGAGCAAGATTAATATGTGTATTAACAATGAATAAATTAGCGAAAATAATTCTAAACGATTTAAAAAAGTAACTATTAAACGTCAAAATATTCGACTAAGACTGAAAAATATAATTATAAGGTATTTAAATAAAATGACGGTGAATATTTACAAAAAAATATACAGGGTTGTAAGTAAAATAACGAAAATAAAAATAAAAGTAACAGTAAATGAATTTAATAATAATGACTACAATTTTTGGCTACATGACTTTCCCTGGCACCTCCCATTTTATGTATTCATAATGTTGTACAGTATCTGAAAGATAGGAATAAAAATAAATAAAAAATAATGTAATTATTAACCCACTGATTATTTTGCTAGCTTACTTTTCTGTGGGAAATATAATTAAAACAAAATTATACTAAAATAAAATAGAAATGTACAAAAATATTATAATAATACGTAAAAAAATATTATCTAGGACGAGTATGAAGAAAAATCCATCAAAATTATAGAAAAAAAACATGCACAAAAACGTGATTAGATCTACCTACTATCTAAAAATGTGTTAAAATATGCTAAAACCGAAAATAAAACTGCAGTGCCATAAAATAAAAAAGGTGCTATAAATAAAGCGCAATTATTTTACTCTAACTTACCACGTTTTATATTTAGACATTTATAACAGTTATCACTTTCACTGTTACTAAACAAAAACATTTAAAAGTGGTAGTGACAATAAATAATACACTTTTATATCTGAATACCCAACTATTTTTCAATTAATTAACAAAATTATAACGATATAAAATGAGATAAAAAATCTAAATAGGTATTTGAGTCAGATTCACGATTGCTTTGACTTCAATAAAAAGTAAATCAGCAAAAATAAATCTAGCAATACTTATGTAAATTGCAGCCCTGTATTTTGATAAAAAGTCACCCAAAATAAGATATCGTGATAAAATGTAAGTGTGGTGGCGGTAACATGCATGCCATCTCACTCGCCCAATATGTGTGGAAGAAATACTCAATACTCAATACTTTTATTGCAAATAGACCCAGTGACGATAAGTATAAATCACACACTTTTAAACGATGCCCGGACAATAGTACAGATCCGGGTAAAGTAAAAAATAAAGAAAGGAAGCTCAAAACCAGAGGGATTTGTGTGAGTTTATATTAAACGTCCTCAATAGTGAGTCTGTTAAAAAAATATATGAAAATTTTAGTTCTTGAGAGATTGCGCTAGGGGCGCTGTATAATCCGTCATACATTTAGTAACGACGTTTGATGTAAACGCACACTAATGCCTCTGATTCTTGACTTGGATGGCCTCAATCCCATTAGAATGCCAGTTGAATCTGAATCGACTTTTGAGTTTAGTTTACAGGCCTGACGTAATACTTAGGTATATAACAAAATGACACAATCATAACTGAAGGGGTGAGTGGACAAAGGTCTTAACTAACAAAATGAGATATGAGTGTTTGAAAATGTTAATCTGCTCATACCACATTTGAATCCTGAAATGTATGAATGCTTGTCAGAAATGCTTGTCAGATAACACCTTTGTTAAGGTTTGACACGTAACAAAATTGCGTGTTTTGAGCTCATTAGTCGATTTTATCATCACTTAAAACCTATGTTCATGCAAAAAAGTCGATTCTTCAGTTTTATCAGATAACACCTTTGTCCACTCACCCCTTCAATTTTGAATTTCAATCACTTTTGGAGATATTTAAAGATTGTAATTTTAATAGATTGAAGTCATCCAAGCTAAGAATCAAATTTTTGAGCTTCGTTTCGTAATACGGGTCTTTGTATCTGTCTATGAAAGAAATGTGTATCTAAAGCCTGGTCCGTGAGCACGTAGAATTTTGTCCAATGACCCCAAGCTACCCATCCTTATCGCTCGCACGTAATTATATTGCTGTCGCGACTGTGCGACGCGCGCCCGCAGTGAGTGTGCGAGCGCGACAGCAACATAATTACGCGCGAGCGATAAGGATGGGTAGCTTGGGGTCATTGGACAAAATTCTACGTGCTCAGAGACCGGGCTTTAAATATATAATATTTCTTTTATATTTCTAGTAGATTATGTGGTTATTATAAACAAAACACAGTTAAAATGAGAAATGAGAAGGTTAGTACGATAACAAATATTTATTCAACTACAATAACGTTCAAAACAAACAAACATCGCCAGCAGGTGAACTTACTACAAAATGTCCAATTTTGAACTGTATGTCATAAGATTAAGGTTTAGAATCGATTAGAGATATTGACATTTTGTGGAAGCTCAATATGCTAGCGACTACGTACAGTCAAGTGCAAAAATAGCTTTGAATCAATGTCAAAATGTGAATAAAATAATACGAAAAAAGAATAAAATGGAAGATAATCAAAATAATATCTGATAAATTCTTAGTTTTATGTCTCCATCAATTAAAATGCCGTCATTCATCTTAATACTGTATTATTAATGTGCTCCAACTATTTTTAAAGTTGGACAACTGACTCTAATAAAGACCCATGGTCCAACTAGTTGGACTGAGCAGTTGGACAACTGCCCCGGACTGAAAATACAGTCATTTAATAAAATCATAAATAATTTGCACTTGACTGCACTAAAACAATAAAATCAAACAATTTATGCATAACTTAATACCTACTCAAATTCTCAACAATAATCCTGCACTCAATACTGTGTAATATTATTATGTCAATTTGTAAAAAAAATATAAATAAAATAATTGTTTTAATTATCGTAGTAGTTCATATTACATAATTATAATAATTTTATTATGGTGTCTATTATTTCTTGTAGGTTATTTTGTTGGTCCCATAACTATGAAATGTTCTCGATCACTATTTAAAAATAAATCATTGGACTAACTATATTAAATTACTCTTTTATACCGGTGACGTGAAATCCACTATTAATTAATAATAATATTATTATTATTTAATATGATTATAATCGCGTTCTGACCCCCATAAAAGTATTTAAATCGACTATGAGTGTCAACTATCTTATTGTACGTATTTTTTATGATAACGTTAATAAATACGAGTAAAATAATAAAATAAATATTTTCATAAATGTATCATAAACAATGAACATCCGTCTATCATTATCTATGGCCACCTCAGTACACAGTAGCCTTATTCACGTAACAAAACTTCAACGACAACAAATCGCTGAGTTGCGATCCTATCGAGTAATCGTTCTACCAAAATGACCCTTGTGAATACGGAATTAGAATAGTGGGTCTAGACAAAGTGCAAATTATAATCGCAAACTAGTCGATAAGTGGTCGAAAAGCCCCTTTTTTGTATGGAGTTTTGACGGATTCGATTTTCGATTCGATCAAAAAGTGCGTTTTGTCTAGGGGGGCTGTTTTCCAATCGACTTCTGAACGTCAGCGAGATCTTGACTGTCAAAATACGTGAATTAGGCCACAGGTCCCTAAGCGAGTGCTACCAGAACAGTTTGTTGATGTTGTCCATTACCTGAGCGACCGTCTGTTCACCGAGCGGCACGTCGTCCGTCCGCAGGGCAGCGCGGCCCACGATCGAGGTCGGGTCCGAGTCAAGGATCACTCTGGAAATTATAAATAGATAAATTATTAATCAGTATATTTAAAAACTAACAGTAAAATCGCATTTAAAAATAGGGGGAACTGGATAAAAATAAATACACCTAAAAAAATATACACTGCAAGATAAATAAAAACTTGTTCGTTCGTTTATTTAAATGAAGCCCAAAATTTCCAAACTAAAGTGGCAGTGGATGGGGCACACAGCTCGTAGAGCTGGGGCACAAAAGTTCTCGAGTGGCGACCACGGTCCGGAAAATGTAGTGTGAGCAGGTCTCCCACTAGGCTAGGTGTACCGACGATCTGGTGAGGGTCGCGTGAAGTACTGCCGCTGCCAGCTATATTATAGCTTTATAACTGCCTGCTTCTAGGAATAGCGTCGTTGTTCCCGCCGCTGCAACTCCTGTGTAGCCAGGATCTACAGCTTGACCGAAAATAAAAACCTAACCAGGAAGGTCAAGTTTGTTCCGGGGGAAAGTTAAGCTGTCATTAGTAGTGTAGTAGAAAATGCTTGTAAAACATAACAATATTATTTTTCTGTTAGAATACAGATTTGGAAATTATTTAAGAGATTTATACTCAGTGAGTTCTCACCCGCCATCACAGATCTCGTCGAATGCTAGCATGACAGCGTCCAGGCTATCCAGCAGGACTCGCTTCTCCACGTTCCTTCTGAGCAGGATGCTCACCGACTCGTATAGAGCGTTCAGGACCGATTGCAGGATCAGCTGGAATCAGGTTTTCAAGGCGAGAGTGAATAGGCACTTACAGGACAGATATGTACCATCCTAGACTGCATCTCACTTAACACCAGGTGCGATGGTATCAAATACCTGCCTTGTTTTCCATAAAAAAAGAAGATTTAACATTTTGGCAGTTGATTTGATAAAAAGATAAAAAAAAAGATCATTTATTCAGTTGGTGGTATGATAGCCAGTTCCTTTTGTTAAGGATTCTGGGTGAAGCTCACTTCAACCTTTATTTTGATTGTCACTTTCCATCAGGTGAGATACAGGCCAAAATGTTGTATTGTGTCCCAACTCTGGTTTTGATTAGGAAGTTTATTCGTGTAGTTCTAGCAGAGATAAATAGACAACGAAACAAAAAAAGGTGAGCTGATGATATAATGAGAGCAGCAGGAGAACATTGGCTTGACCTAGCCCAGGACAGGAACAAATGGAGAGGGATGGAGGAGGCTTTTGCCCATACAGGGTGACACAAGAGTGAATGGACAAATACTTCTGACTTCATTTATGAATTGTAAAGTTGTGGAAATAAAAGCTTTTTATTTTTATTTATTTATAAATAGACAACCAATCTTCCGCTGAATGTCTTAATATGCAAAATAAACGAACACCAGGCCTCCCCAACCCGTCTGGCCAGCGTGGGGAGTGTAGGCCAAATCCTCCATTTGCCTCGTAAATTAGAGAGTCGTGCTCCTGCAATGGAGACTAAATGACCTGATGATGATGAAGTAGTATACTAACCTCATTTTCGTGTGAACTGCCCATGACGTAGAAGAAAAGGTCAACATTGCTCTTGTAAACACAAGTGAGCCCTTCCAGCATTATAATTTCTGCATTTGCCCTGAAATTTTAATCATGTTTATGAGTTTCACTTATTTTAGTTACTTTAAAAGTTATCCCAGAGTAAGAAAAGGAAGTAGTTTTAGACTTCTTAAAGTTTTCTTGCATTATATTTTAGAAGAAAAAAGTAATATCAAAGGTCTTGCAGGATAAAGAAAAAAACAATATTTACTGGGCCTGTTGTATTGTTTGTTAGAACACTATGGCTGGGTTGCACCATCTTACTTTAACTTTAACAAACGTCAAATGTCTGTCGAAACTCCATAAAAAATCACCGGTTATTGTTCGCTGGTGCAACTCAGCTGACGAACTAAGCTAATAAAAAATACACTTACACGATTTATGACTTAAGTATTCATCTTTAAAATTACTTACCTATGTGTTTTGTTGAAGAGATTCTTCTCAAACGCTTTCTGTTCTTTGGCGGTGGGCAGGATGTCTTTGTCGTAGTACTTGGCCAGGATTCTGTTGCCGTCGTTGTCAAGGATGCACATGCCTTTGACGATGTACAGAGTGGGCTCCTGGAAAAGCATTCAATCATGTATTAATATGGGTACATTATTGAATGTTTTAGGTTGTGTTTTCATCAGAGATGTGTGAGGATGTGTGCGAGGGATATGTATGCAAAGAATGAATAGAATCGCTTCATTTACTGAGAGGAGGTAAAGTGTTTTAATGAATCTATCTATCTATCTATGTCAGCCTTTGGGTTCGCCTTCGAACATAGACCTCCTCTTCAACCCTCCACCGTTTTCTGTCCCTGGCCACACGCATCCAATATGTTTTAATGAATATTGTGCCAAAATTAGGGTTCTTGCTTTACAGTAGGACACTCCAGATACCAAATATGTATCATATTGTATATCTTTTCTACTAAAGGAGACAAAAAAGTGGACAAAGGCCTCTCCAAGTCCTGCGCTACTCACATCCAAATGCTTCCTGCGACATTATAGTGAATAGATTTTGTACATTTATAAAGTTAAATGGTTAACATCTAGCAACCTACATACTGTATCAAATTAATATACCAGTTCAACTTGATTACCTCAGGAATATATGAAATTACAAGGCCAAGGATACTTACTGAGTTGTTTACTAGCTACAAAATCAATACAAATGTGAAATGCCTGCTGATTTTAGTAATAAAACCAATTTTTCAACCAGCAATGATGCGATTTTCTTGACGTGAATTTGAAGTAAATAAACATGATTGTTTTCATGTTAAATTAGTATTTATTTAAAAAATTCAATAGAGAAGCAGGTGGAGCAAACTTATTGCATTTCAACATAGTATTTTGATGTTGCTATTTGCTTGAAAACCATGCCGAATGTAATGGTCGAAAAGATGGATATTTACAAAAGAATAATCAAATGAAATCGGACTTACAAATAAAGCACCATCCATTGTGTTTGTGTGAACCATTTTGAACTGTTTTACGATGTAATTATTAAAGTTTTGCAAGAAAACATGCAATTTTTAAATGCAAAACTGACGACAAACGTGACGTGTTATTGCTTGACGTGTTGACATTGACATAACACTGACAGCTGTCAAAAACCATAGACTACAAACTAAGGTGCGTTCAATTTATATATATTTTTAATAACGTTAATCATACCGTTATCGATACCGCACGTAACGTTATTAGAACGACTTAAAAAAAGGGCCTATTTGATCTATTAAGCTTACTTTTAATAGGTTTTCTGAATAACAATGGTTTTTTGTTTATCGGAGAGCCGCGCTATTAGAGTAATTCCCGTATACAAAGGGAAAGTCAAAACTTTAGCTAACCCATTTTCCTCTGTAAAACATTGTGAATATTTTGCCAAAACAACAACGCACAATAACAGCATTCCAAAAAAAATCCTTTGTCAAACAAACTGCTGTGATTGTGAAGCGCTGCACGTGGCACAAATACAGTACCAGCTACAATTGCGTTTCAGCCGCCCGCTTCCTGAATGCACTTAGCTGCATCACGCCTTTATATTGGCTGCCGGTCACACCGTAACGTAACTAGCTAGAAAATTCAACATTACAATTTTATCAATAGATAATCGAATGCGATCGTGATCACTTTGCTGCAACTTTTGCATGTAAGTAAGTAGGTAGGTCTAGGTACGTTGTATTTAATTTCTGAATCACTGAACATCAACTTCGGGTCAGTTAGAAAAACCTAAATACTTGCAAGGACGCAAAACTCTTCTTTTCTGTTTTAATACTAATTCTTATGGATGCCCAATTGCCCATGTTCCTTTTGGACACAACCGCAAATAACACCGCAAAGCTCGATTTCTTTTCTAGCTACGAGTATATTCTAGATAGATTTCTGTGCCCCAATGTTCGTCATTGGGCGCAGAAGTCACAATCGCGTTAGTACTGCAGTGGAAGTGTTTCATATACGCAGTTGCAGCTACCATAGAAAGTGAGACCGCGATAAATCGTGCGGCTGTTGCACTTCCAGAAATTGTATGAAAACTAAGTAGGTAGTAATGCGCCACTACAGCTCTTATTCACGCCTTTTGAAGGCGCCTTATAGGTTTAAATCACGGTTAAAATGTTACACGTCGGTGTGAGCTGGTGCCACGCGGACTGTTTGCGCTGTTCGCCACTTCCCGACGCTTTGATGTGCGGACGATGCTTTCAACAATATTCGTTCTTGTTGTGGTTGCGATCAAAATAGATTGATTTTTCACATCAAAGTTTTGTATCACCTCAGATAGAAAATCTGTTCTTAGGTAAAGCTTTTGCTTTGGCTTTGCATTCGTGATTCGTGACTCGCGCGTGTCTCAAATTAAATCTTTTATACAGTACACCTACCTACTTAGGATTTTTCCAGGGTCCTTTACACATCCCAAATAATTATGTATAACTTGCCCTACCACCACTTTGAGACAACATCTGGGCTGGTGTTGAGAAACTCAGTCATTTTTGTCAGTCTCCAGGATTAAAATACCCTACGTTTTTCCCATGTTATCCCATGTAGGTGTCAAAAGTTTGATATTCAAACTACTTGTTACAACTTAGAAATACGAGTATACTTAGGCTGAATTGCACCAACTTACTTTAACCGTAACTATAACAATATTAATAGCCTGCCAAGCGTGGAGATTATGGCAAAACCCTCCACTATAGTGGAGGAGGCTCATAGTCCAGCCGTGGACTGTAAAGGGCTGTTGATGATGATGATAACAATATTCGGTGTATTTTGTATGGAATTTGTCAGATTTTTGTTGTTTTATGTCTTTATCTTCTATCATTTCCTTCATTAGCTTTCAGTTCAGCGCAATCCGTTCAGTGGTTTGAGCTGTGTTGATACATCACAGTTACGGTTGCCTTTTATAAAAATGTTGTTATACTCGTGTTATTTTGACCCCGATAATTACGCGTTCATTAGTAACGTGTTATAAAATAACTTAGCGTAGGACATTATGGGCGCGCGCGTGCCGTGCCCCTAGTTGGGTAGGGTGGCCATGCTACAACCATGTTTTTCGGGAATTTCTATGAATACCTATTATAAAAAATAAAAAATACCTATTATAAAAAATACTTATTAAAAAAAAAGTATTTAAGTATGTTTATATCCGTTGTCTAGTACCCATAGTACAAGCTTTGCTTAGTTTGGGACTAGAAGCGCAGTGTAAAATGTCCAAGGATATTTATTTATTTTTTATTATTTTATTTTAAATAAACGAAATCTTGTTAGTGGATAGCTTACAAAAACCTGGCAAATAAAAAACGTATTAAACTGAAACGGCACAATTTAAACGGTCTTAGAATTTAACAACTTTTCAAGGAACTTCTGAATAGGCACTTACACAGGGCAGAATATGTAGGTACCACCCCAGACTTATATTACGGTCAAATACCTGCCTTGTTGTGCATTAGAAAAACTAGGAAATTATTACTGGATGGATTGTGAGGAAATCCAAAATAGCATTATTAGCTACTTTTACCCGATGTTAATTTCAAGTCTTTAAGAATACAGTGGGTAGAAAATTATGTCAACTTCGAAGTGATAGATGTAATTCCCTGGTGGTAATTGTGAAATATTATGTTAATAATTTAATAGAGCATGTTCGCTATGTGCTTACAATATTTGCAGTTAGTTCTTGATTGTCTAAAAAGAGTCTTAATTTTGATTATTTTCTAGTAATAAAATATCCCACAAACCCATTTCCCCCACATACCATGGTCACCATACTCGTCAACACAGCATCGTTGAAGAGAGCACGCACACATACACACCCTATAGTAGGTACCAGCGTACCAGTAAGTACTTACGCACTTTCATTGAGGATTGTTTCCATTGATAGACGTCATGATTCGGTTTTCAGTGGCCCACAAGGTGGACAGACGACCTCGTGAAGGTAGCAGGAAGGCGCTGGATGCAGGCCGCTACCAACCGGGCGATGTGGAAATCATTGGGGGAGGCCTATGTTCTGCAGTGGACGTCCTGTTGCTAAAATGATGATTGGCTTTATATCGCTCTTGATTCATAGTAATTTTCCAGGGTTCAGTTCCCAGTTCTGGTGACACACAAAATCTTATTGCCAACTTAACACTTAAGGACTCGCTAATGGGTCTAAAGGACCCAGTTCTTCAATATTTGTGTAATAACTTTTAAAGTTTGATGTTTGCGATGTTGTCGCTCTTAGTACCTTTCCACGACATTGTAGCACAGCCAATAGCGGTCATAATCGTCAAATAGCCCACTGCATGTGATTGCTACAGACGAAAAATGTGTTTTTGAGTCCACTGGACCCGGTAAACAAAGTGATTTTAAATGTTCTATACAAATTTCTCATTAATTGTTAATTGGTATAAGTAGGCAAGTCATAGTAGGTTACGAAAATAAACAAGGTTTTTTTTTAAATAATTAATTACAAAATTTTTCAAAAATAACCTTCATTTTGCCAAAAAACCTTCAATTTTTTAAATAAGTTATTATTTTAGAAAAAGGCAATAAATATGACTATTTATTTTGGTTTATTATTTTGTCTTTGTTTATATCATATTAATATCCTTCTAATAAAGTAGTTTTCACTTTTATTTAAGTTTTTGAAAAATACATAGGATTTTATATACTGGGTCCACCGCACCCGGTAGCGAGTATGAATGTTACAAATTAAGGCGCGAGTCCTCAAGTGTTAAAATGGCCATCAGGCCCATAACTTCATTAGAACTAAATATTTGGCAAGTTCTGAAAAAAGTACTGTAACAAACTCAAAGCATACATCGTCGCTTGCCTCTCTAACTGAAGTATCTGACATTTTTTTCGAAATTGAGTTATCTAACTACACCATCTTAATCAATTTCGCAAGACGAATCAATCTGTCTAATCGCCTGAAAATTTTGCAAAATGTCAGTTACGTCAGTTAGAGAGGCAAGCGACGACATAGTGTATACCTTGAGAAGTCAATGGAAACAATATCATCACCATCATTATCATCAGGTCATTATTTAGTCTCCACTAGAGGAGCACGACCCTCTACTTTACGAGAGGCAAATGGAGGATTTGGCCTACACTCCCCACGCTGGCCAGACGGGTTGGGGAGGCCTTATTGAGTGTGGCTCTTATTCTACTAGTACTCTGGTGGAAGTACCTTGATGGGGGCAGCACAAGACCGGTCGTTATGGATCTGGGATCCTGAAATCACTAGTGAGCGCGTTTGATGCAAACTCACACTCAGCCCACTGATGTTCGCATTTCTCCCTTTCGCTAACGACATCCACGGAAATAGTGGACCCTATTCTAATCTGACGTAACCACAAAGTCAATGGAAACAAGCCCTTGCAATTCATAACGAGTACTCCACGCACCCCTCACACGCATTTTCAGACCATACAGCCTTCAGACTGGTCCAGACCTATGATTTGCATTCAAACCATAGACAGCTGTGGTCATAGACACCACAGTGGATGCTAGAGATTGCAAACCGGGTCCGGTACCCTTTTAGGCAACCACCGGGCCCGGCCATTGTTACAATAGGTGAAATTATTTGTGTTGTTTATACCAAATCTACCAAAGTTTATTTATCTATCAAAGTTGTTATGACACGTTTAGTACTTTAAGCTACGTTATTTGTTTAAAACTTATAAAAATGAATAATTACTAATACTAATGTTACTTTTCTGTCCATAAGTAAAGTAATCAATTCTGTATTAAGTGTGATTTTGTTACTTGAGTATTAAATCGTTGTCTTTTTTCCTTTTACATACAACGTGTTCCTGACAATTTCCTGTAACTCTAGCTAGGGTATTAAGACCACTTCAAAGAATCGAATGGCAATAAATTTTCAACCATAGGACGTCCACATCTAAACATAGGCCTCCCCCAATGATTTCCACATCGCCCGGTTGGAAGCGGCCTGCATCTAGCGCCTTCCTGCTACCTTTAAGAGGTCGTCGGTTCACACCTATGTGGTCTACAATGCGCAAGACCTTATCGCGTCTATCATCTACCTTGTCTATGCCAGACCCTCGCGTGTTGACACTGAGGCTCTTTTTGAACAAGTCGGCCATGTTCCT